ACACAAGATCACCATATATTCATTCACCAGTGCGTGAAATCAACATAACTCAATCCTTCGCTGCTAAAGATTTGATCCTTTCCTGACAGGCTCCTCCCAGAGCCGTATATAGAGATATATCTAGAGATCTCTATATACGACTCTGGCTCTTCCTTCCCATCAATGGCCATCATGCTCACCAACCATATTCTCCAAGAAAAAAGGAAAACTGTTTGTTTCCATTTCCGAAAATTGCATTCTTGATGGATCGTTCCCCGCGTAACACGACTCGTTATTAAATACAATGATAATTACACTTAGGTATTTACATACACATCATTACCCAGCAAAAGCTAGTGATAGTACTAGCTCGCACACGTTAGCCTAACACACTCCATTACGATTAAAGAGCACCTGACAAATGAAATCGGACTCAACGATATTAGTGATTGCTTTGCGGCACATCAGCCTTTCAGCTGAGCGTAGACATGACGTCACTTAACATCAGGGAAGAATCAGAGACGTATGCGTGTCTGCTGAAGAATTGATCGTCTGCAGAACTGAAATTTTGTTAAACGTGAAATTTTAAGTCTCGATATCTATAACTGACCGAAGCTGACCAAAGCTGACGTCACATTCTCACAATGTCGCCAATTTGAATCACATATAAAGTGACACGGGTGTAAGACTTCAGTCAAATGATCAGTAATAAACATTACCTGCTGTCAACTAATACTATAAAACTTGACAATCGTACCATGTTTGCAAGTTTCAGAGTTTAGTGAACAGTGATCATACTGAGCCCAAATATGGCATTTAATCAAAATCACTACAACTTGATTGCACGATGCCTTTTAAAACACATTTTACCAAAAAAATCGTTCTATCAAATTATCAAATGTGTGTAAGGGATGGGGAGGGGTGGTGGTGGTGGTGGGGGGGGGGTTAAATGAGTTTGGGCAACTCACATTAACACTTCTCCATGGCTTGATTAAAACACATTATAAGCTTTATACCACACGATCAGAGCAATGTTAACACACCCGTTAAAAGCACAGGTGCAGAAATATTTCAACCGAAATTAGTTATATTTGCAAACAAATGTTTGCATCAATGGGACAAACAAGCCAATGTTTTAAAGCCGACACGTACATGTACTTTACATGTAACCTGAGAACAGTGACAACATGTGCTCCCTTAGGCACTGCAGGGAATTTTTTCTACACATTGTCATTCCAGATAACTGTGTCATCAAAAATAGTTGCATGGCTGCACCATTTATTGTCACATGATCGCACTTGCCACGTGATAAATATCTACTGGCCATGGGTTAGAATGACTATGGTTATGTCCGATTCGACGCAAGCTACACTGTCTTCTTCGCACAAGCAATTCAACGCGATGGATATTACTATCATCGGAGCATTATCTAACCAATTTGTTAAGGTATGCTTCACCTGGACCACCTGCTAAGCAAGACAGCCTCCGGTATGAGAGCGAGTTCAAGTTTAATCAACGCCCGCTAACAGATACATGCGTTTATTATATAATCACGTTGTTTAGTGAGTAGTTTGTGTAAAAATGAAGCTGCTTACAATGACGATGCAGCTCCTAGCAGTGAAATAGAGGCGTGAAACACAACGTGACTTTGCCTGTGGCGTGGTCACAGTGTAATACTTTATAGAATGCTATTGATCTGTTAGTATGATATAGTCATGCGTCTACATTGGGCCTAGCTTTGATCGTAATAGCAATTAAAGCAGATAAGTGTTCCAGCCAAGTAAACTCTGCGTTTTAGTATTAATACATTCAAAGAAAGCTAAGAATTTTTTCCCGTCGTTATGATAGGTCAAAACACGCAAAATTTCAAAGCAGGTTTGAGGCATCTACTTTTCCTGCCGTTGTGTTCGCTATTAAACGTGCTCACTTGCATATACATTTTTAAAATTACCAAAGAAAACCCTATTTCTCCCACACGTATTAGCTTAAATGTTTCAAATAAACGCACTAAAACGCACAAGGAATTTTGGGGAATAATATTATATGGATGTAATGGGCGTATATAGCTCCAAGAAACGGTCACGTATTGCAAAGGTACTATACTCCTGGGGCATACATATAGGTTTTGCACCCCTCCCCCTTATAATGAAAAAGATCAATTTTTGTCATTATCTATCACGCATGTGTCTATAGTTGGCCAAACAGTTAGCCACTAGCTTCAGGCCACTCACTTATAGTAACTTCCGCCGAACAAACCACCACCAACATGGGACCCCTAAGACAAATGGGGCGAATTTAGGTTGAATACGTGCATATGGAAATTACCACTTTAATATTATGATTGATCCATGTATAGCTTATAAAGACGTTTGATGTAATTGTCCTAACGGTGGTACACTATCTGAACGTGGTTACATTAAAGATTTTATATATATAATCGAAACGCCAATTTTTAGTTTCATAATGAATAAATCAGTCGTTGTATATAACGCCAAGCTCAATGTTATCAAAACAAGGGTCCTCATTACTTAGCTCCTTAGCTGTAGCAATACGGTTGCTATATATAAACACATTAATTATGAAACGAATTTGCTCCAAATACCACAATGAACGCTGATAGGTAAATCGTGTGAACGACCAGGGCTACCATTCTGTTTACACGCTGAACTAGACAAATGATTAAAAAAGTTAGCAAAACTTGAGAAATTTAGAAATGCACACTGGTCATTCTATGTGGCGGGGTAGTTCTGGGGATCGAGTTAATTTCCGATAACAGGAACTTTGTTGTGACCATGGTGATGAAGGAGGTTCTTCAGCCTGCTATCAATGAAGAGTGAATGTAACGTCTTTATGAGTAATGCTCGTTCATTAAGCCTAGCGCAGACCTGCAACTCTTTCATGCAACTCGACAGCGGTTCTAGAATCACTGTAAAAATTGCTGTAAAATCGCTACGTCTGCGGGAAAGTGCAACTGCAACCCGTAGCGATTCTGGTCGCTTAATTGCGACGAGTTGCAAGTAATCAAACTGTTTTGATTTTGAGCGACTCGTCGCCCCCAATTGCTCTGAAATTGCTCTAGAATTGCTTCGAAATCACATGTGTGCGGGTAGACAGCGACTTGCAACGATGGGAAATTCTCATTTTGAGCAAATCAGATGACCAGTCATTTATTCGCCAAATGGTAGGCAGTCGCCTGCATGCGCACACGCGGTGAAGCGTGCGACCGATCGCTTGCGGTTGCAGGTTGCAGCGACGAGCAACCAAAAATCGCAGGTCCGCGCTAGGCTTTAGTCACTTGCGACGTCTTCTGACTGAACTTTATCTCGTCGTGCTTGGGTTCCTAATATTTTTTTGGAGCAAGTCCTTGCTCTATGTACAGCCGTACATCAGACGCTGGTTTCAGGAACGACTACGTATGGAACTACTCCCCGGCTAAAGTACATTTTACGTGCTGCCAATGCAGGCAAGACCCGAACGGTCAGTTTTCTCTGCATGACCAAGACGGCTGGTAGCAAGATAATTCAAGTAAAATTAATAATTTCACTCGAATACGGCCTAACTGGATTCAACTGCATATTAAAGATTAGTGCAATGTTATGCGAATGATGCTCTTGTCGTTACAATATCTAGTCAGCTGCAGTTACACACGATAAGTAAGTGATTTGTACATGATCGAACTTGAAAAAATGTAGAGCAACACCGATTCTTCTGAAGTGGGCCATCTGACATGTTTAGCGGCACGTTGTCAAAAATTACAAGACTTTTTCGACAATTGAAGCTCTTAGATGGGAATTAATAACTTTAGGTGAACATTACGCCTATAATTTCTGAGTTTGAACTGATATCCAACAACATTCGTGCATATATCACCAACATTGGTGACACACGATGGCAGTAAAAACGCATTCGTTTTTAGCTGCAGCATATCTTATGAAAACTAGATCAGTAACTTCATATTAAATGGGGTAAACCATATTCGTGCAGCTTATAGTATAAGTAGGAGAAACCAGACAATTGTCATTTGATAAACATGGCAAGTTTGGCATTAGCTCAATCATCCTTCAAAAAACGACATACTCTTAGATTGTTACAAATGCAAAGTTAACCATTCAGTACAGAGTGCGAGTGAGAGAGAGAGAGAGAACGAGAGAAAGAGAGAGAGAGAGAGAGAGAGAGAGAGAGAGAGAGAGAGAGAGAGAAGAGAGACGAGACGAAGAGAGAAAGGAGAAAGAGAGAAAAAGAGAAGAGAGAGAGAGCAGAGAGAGAGCAGAGAGAGAGAAGAGGAGAGAGAGAGAGAGAGAGAGAGAGAGAGAGAGAGAGAGAGAGAGAGAAAGAGAGCCAGACAAAAGGGATGAAGGAAAAGTAAGAGGGAGAGATAGAGAGAGGGAAAAGGGAGAGAGAGAGATGGAAAAGGGAGAGTGAGAAGAGAGAGAGAGAGTGTGGAGGAAGAGAAAGGAGAGACGGGGAAAGAATAAATGGGAGGGAAAGGAAGATGAATGGAAGGTAGAAGAGAGGTATAAGACAAGGCAGGAAGAAGAAAAAGTAGGATGGAGATTGGGAGAGAGATAAAGATGAAGAGACGTGTATAAGGTGAGAGAAAAAGATAGCAACAACTTCTTTTGACAAAGTCTCTGATATCCTGGCACAGCGGGAATGCTTTTCTTCCATTGCTGGTCCTTTAAAACACACAGACAGCCCGAACACTTCTAGGAGATCGGCGACACCTAAAGCTCACCTATATAAACATGTAATACTAGCTCATCAGCCAACGGCGGCACGCAATCACATCAACGCGCACACTCCAAGCCAACGTGCTGCGCTCCAAATGTCAAAAGTCCTCTGAGGGAGATGATCACAAGTACACTACACATCCAGCGTGTGAAACGCGTAAACATGCGTTTACATGTAAAGCACACACACACACGCACGCACGCACGCACGCGCGCACGCACGCACGCACGCACGCACGCACACAAGTGCGCTGAGGCTGCAGCAGCGTAGACGAGCACCGCCGCCACGCGTCACTTGTACATCATGAGGTCCGGCGGCGGGCCAGACCGGCTGTAGCGCTCCCCGCCGGCGCCGCCGCGGCCAGGCGACGCGTGCCGCTGGTACAAGCGTTCAGACTCCTGCGCGTCGCCGCGCTTGCCGCCGCCGTAGCGATCACCGCCACCGCCTCCGCGCGGCTCTCCGTAGTCCTCATAGTCATAGTCGCGCTCGTAGCGCTCGTAGTCGCCGCGGCGATAGCGCGCCGCTGCCGCCGCAGCGTCGCGCTCCTCGTCGTAGTCACGCACGCGCCCCTCGTGGTGGCGCCGCTGGTCACGCGCGCCGCCGCCGCCGCCGTCGTGGTGGCGCCGCTCGCGCTCGCGCTCCGGCGGCGACTCGCTCAGTTCGTCGCCGCCGCGCGGGTTCGTCGTCGCCGTAGTCGTCGCGCGGCGACCGTCGCCGTGGGAACGCTTCGCGTGATACGCGGGCGACGACTGCGTCCGATGGAGGCTCGTCGGCGACTGCGGCATGTGGTGGTGGGTGGGCGAGCTGCGGCGGCCGTGCGTGGGGCTGCTGCGTGAGGGAAGCGGCGGATGCGACGCACCCCAGTAAGCCTCGAGGAACTCGGCTAGATGCTCGCAGGCATCCTCCAGCTGATTCTCATCTAGTATTACATCGAACATGTCCTGCAAGAGATTCATGAGAGCACATTCAGGGACCAGACAGCAAATCATTATTGTTATGTTAGAGCTAGTATAGGCGTCCTAGTCCAGATAGTTACATTCATGCAGGGACCAGACAGCAAATCATTATTGTTATGTTAGAGCTAGTATAGGCGTCCTAGTCCAGATAGTTACATTCAGGTACCACAGGCAGCAAATCATTATTGTTATGTTAGAGTATAGACGTCCTAGACCAGATAGTTACATTCAGGGAGCCGGACAGAAAATCATTATTGTTATGGTACATGAGTTTACATATCCTAGTCCAAATCGTTACAAAATAATGAAAAACAATTAGAAATGTGCGTGCTGTTCCAAACAGGTATTCTATCAAGAATTCGTCTAAAAATGACCACATTAGTATTCGATCAATCATTACATACGCCACGAACATTTTTAAACGACAACTGATTGTCACTGGATCCAAATAATGAACATTTATATCCAGATTATATGGTTTCATTCTTTCATTCAATAAACTTTCTATTTAGTTCAATCAGAGCTCCTATAAATATTTTCACAACTACCATCATGCCTCTCTTCCACTATAGCAATGAAACTTTTAGACAATGCCCATTGCTGAGTATAACCATAATCCATAGAGAAATTCTAAACACATAATACAAAAACCCACAGAGGTACAAGGGTCTGCATCATTAAGCTTACAACTGGTTTATACTCACTGCACTGACTTGACTACACTGAGACAACTTCTCTGCAGCTACTAGCTGCATGTTAAGGTTTCTACTTTGTGACTTTCCTCTCGACTTTATTAACCTTGAAAGAACCTGTAAGGGATACTCACGAAGTGACAAACAGCAATGTAAATCCATTCCCAACCTCACGAGGAATGCACCCGCCCTCAAAGTTACCAGCCTTACAATTACTACCTAGCTACCGTACACTTAATTGAGTGCTATATCGCTTCTTAAACAGGAAGCTTTGGTAATACACGCAACATTTACAATTTACTTTGGTGACGTTCACATTTATATTTACAATTGACGAACAATTAAAAAGAAATATTAGCAAATGATTTCATGTGGCTTCTATACAACTCAGCTAGTGAATTGGAATGATACTAAGCAGAGATGCCAATGATAATAATGGGAGTGATCCCCAAAATATACCAAATGAAATTCATCATTACATAATCGTAGCAATATTTGACATGACATGATATTGGTTGAATAAATAAATGCTTACCTTTTGGGAAGCAATTTTTAGGTACACAATAATCGGAGCTAATGAAGTTTTGGCAAGCTGTGAAGGATGATTGATGGTGTCACAATCTAAGATGACAAGATTCTGTAGCGTCCTCGCTATCTCAAATATCCTTTCGATTTCTTGCTGAACTTCGACTGAAAGGAAAGCAGTAGATATAGCAAGCTCAAACATGCAGGCACAAAAGCTAATATATAAAAATAAACTAGATAAGTTGTTAGACATGTATAACCTCTAACCATAAGTACAACAGTTAGCCACCAGGTGGTGCACTGATGAAGATAACAGCTGTGTATTTCAACACATTGCAATCCAATACTGAGGCAAACTGAGGCTAGTTTAACAGCTGCTGGATGTGACAGTCATTCCTTTAAAGCACCCGCATAATTATGCGATGACACAATTATTCTTATCATATAAGCTAGACTTGGCAATAATAACAATAACAACAATAATAAAAATTAGTTAATAAAGCAAAAAACCTTGTAATGTTAAATTCAATTTATTGACGACGACCTAGGGCTCGACGATAGCCTGGCGGGCCGCCAGGCTATAAGTGCTCTTGGAGAACCCTGATGGTATATACAAGCAATGATGTGTTGAAAATTAACTCCCGAAATTGTACATATCCTGTACTTTTTACTTAGATCCGTGTACAGAGTAAATATGTAAATGTATTTGTAAGGGAGAAAACATCAAAAGACTGATGAGGGAAGATCGAGAACATTTCTTGTGGAAACCACTATAGGTTAAAGAGAGTTCTGCAGGATTTTTTGGTAAAACACTTGAAATTTCAAAATAAAATGTTTGATATTTTAATCCTCAACATTACCAATGAGTGCATCAAAAATCAAAATTTATGTTATTTACATATTTTGTGTTATGTAATGTTGTGTAACGTCATAAAATATCATTTTGTGGATGACCTTTGGAGGTACCTAGCTGTTGGTTTCAGCAGTGGGTATCACTGTACCTACGTCCGTAACAGTATGTCTACTATACTAGCAGTACCAGACCCAAAATGTGGGTAATTAGGCAAGTTATGGCTAACTAATTGCACTCTGAATATAGGAGTCACATATAGTATGCCTCCGCTACTCGATCTTACTTTGCATTATATAATCTCATTAACAATGCACAATGACCTCACACATGCGTGTATATACTGACCTATACTAGAAGATCTACTGTTGGAGCGTTCCATGATGGCACGTTTGCTGGGGTTGTTCAGTAGTGAGCGTTTGGCCAAAGAAATATCTGCTGTTACCCTAGTTATCGTGATCCTGCAATGTTTTGAGTACATGTTACCACGAGCCAAATAATATAAATAAACCCTATTATACAAGTTCAACTATGCAAAAAAAAAAAATCATAATTATGCAATTTATATAATTATTTACATTTACATAATTATAGAAACATGAAAAAGTTTCTAAACAAAATAAAAAGTAATAAACATACTAAATTTAATATATGTATATATATCAGAAGTAGATATAATAGGGAAGGAGTGTGACTTCAATAAACAAGGAAAATTCGTCATTTAATATAGCCTTAGAATACCTACGATTTACTACGCGTAACTCAACCAACTTGAGCTCAAATCGTACACAGTATATTCGCCTAGCATCGTGCAAAATCGTTTCCTCGTATACACCCGCAATCAGGAGATACAGACTAAAACTTACGACACGATTTTCCATTATGTTGCCAGCAAGCTGAATGTATAAACCGCCTAACTTGAAACAAAAGGCAGCTATTAACGACTCTTGCGCCCTCGGGGATTGTGGGTGTATATGAGGAAACGATTTCGCACGATGCTAGGCGAATATACTGTGTACGATTTGAGCTCAAGTTGGTTGAGTTACGCGTAGTAAATCGTAGGTATTCTAAGGCTAGTAAATGACGAATTTTCCTTGTTTATTGAAGTCACACTCCTTCCCTATTATCTACTCCTGATATATATGCAATATCCAATATATTACACATATATATCAATATATTATCTAAATATAGTATAAAAATGTACGACGGTTGTATTGTTGATTAATATGTCCATAT